TAACAGACTGTATTTATTAGTGTGTGATAAGAAAAAGAAAGAAATAACTTTAACTGAAGTGGAGACAACATGAGGAGACTAATTATAAACTGTCCAAGTGGAGATAATGAAAATGTATGATATTGCAAATGAGCTGAGCCTAATTTATAATGTGAGGGCGAGAACAATTCCTTATGCTTTGACATGGGACAGGATAGTGATAATGTCGCACAGATGGCACATCTTGGTCTAGAAATCCCACTTTATGTCAAAGCATTTAAATTGGTTGGCTATTGCTGTATAACACTCACCCTGAAACTCATTGGTTTAAAAACAAAGGACATACCCAACTGTCCTGCAATTAAAAAAGAAAAAAACTAAAAAGAAAAAAAATTTTTAAGATTTATATTTTTCATAATTTTTGTGGATTTACTGGGTTATTTCTCTACTTGTTTCCCCAGGCCTCTCTTAGGGCTGCGATCAACTGGAAGTTCAGCTGGGTGAGGAGGTCCACATGACCTCACTCACATGTCTGCTAAGTGTGCTCGCTGTTGGATGGGGTGCTCTGTTCTCCTCTCTTATCCACTCATCCTCCAGAAGCTAGCCCAGCCAGCCCAGCTTCCTGACATACCAGAACCAAGACAGTGTTCCAAAAGGGCAAAGCCAGAGGCTGTCTACTTCATGAGGCCTAGGGCCCAAATACACACATCACTTCTACCATACTCTATTGGTCAAAACAAATCACAAGGCAATCACAGATTCAAGGGGTGGGGAAATAGACCCCACTTCTTCAGTCTTTAGTCTTTAGTACTTTCAAGACCCTGGAAAGAATATCTATGGATGGGTAGCAGGGAATGGAGGACAAAGAAACACAAATTCAAGTTGCTATAAAGAGCTTAAGTGGTATAAATTTGGGACATTAACAACAACAACAACAACCACAACAATTATACAAACTCTTATACAGTATTTACCATTTGCCAGTTTCTGTTAAAAGTATTTGCATGTAGGGGCACCTGGGTGGCCAGTCGGTTGGGTGCTCGACTTCAGCTCAGGTCATGATCTCACAGTTTGTGAGTTCGAGCCCAGCACAGTAGGGTTCTGTGCTGACAGCTCAGAGCCTGGAGCCTGCTTCGGATTCTGTGTCTCCGTTTCTCTCTGCCCCTCCCCTACTTGTGCTCTGTCTCTCTCAAAAATAAATAAACATTAAAAAAAACCCTGGAATTTGCATGTAACACCTCATTTACTCCTCACAGACATCCTCTGAGGCAGATGCTTTTATTATGACTATCTCACAAATGTGGAAATCAGGTACTGAGAAGTTAAGCAATTTTCCCAGTCATGCCGCTGGTATGTGGCAGTGCCAGCATTCAAAGCCAAATAGACTTGAGTCAAGAGTCCATGCTTTTAATCCCTGTGCCATACTGCCAATTCTTATAAAGCAAAACAATCCCCAAATAACCTCATGTGCACTTTACACAACCTGATATAGAGGGCAGGGGCACCTGGGTGGCTCAGTCAGTTGAACATCCAACTTTGGCTTAGGTCATCATCTCGCAGTTTGTGAGTTTGAGCCCCACATCGGGCTCACTGCTGTCAGTGCAGAGCCTGCTTTGGATCCTCTGTCCCCCTCTCTCTGCCCCTCCCCTGCTCACTCTCTCTCTCTCAAAAATAAATAAACATTTAAAAATAAAATAAAATATGTAGAGGACAACAAGCTGTATAAATTAAAATCAATGAAACCCTTACATTTCCTGTATATTAACTAACTTAATAATTGAAAGGCAGTCTCAAATCCTCAGTCACATATTTGCAATTGGTTTACTGTAGTAACTCAACCACTGACTAAAGCCACCTTCAACCAACTGTGTACCGAGTAGCACGTCTGGAATAGATTGCTCAGTAAATGTCTCAGAAATTTCAAGACAATGTTTTTATTCCATTTTAATTTGGGGAAAATTTATAAATTATACTAATTTATAAATTATAATTTACAAAATATATACTAATTATACCTATAATTTGTAGGTAACTTCTTATTTTAAAAAGTTAACATTATTACGTAGTAAAGTCCTACTAATTTCCATTTGCAGTAGGTTTTGAACAAGAGGGCATTAAAAATCATTAAACCCATGGTATAATTATTTATTACATATATGTGTTTTACCAAGACACCTGGTGACACTGCTCAAGCTCCCTAAATTTCAGTAGTGTCCCCCAATCATTGTGACAACCAAATTGCCCCATAAATATTTAAAGCTCCCGGTGTCTGTCACTAAAACTGCTACTTCTTGTAATGGGGCCCTCTACCTCTCTGATCTCATCTTTTTCCTTTCTCCCCTTGCGTCACTCTTCTCCAAGTACACTGATTTCTATGTGTCCTTCAAACATGCTAATCACACTTCCCTTTTAGGGCCTTTGCATCTGTGGTTACTTTAGCTTCGGATGTTCTCCCCTCTTATGGTGTAATTGCTTGCTTTCTACAGGTCCCCACTGAAATGCCCTTATATCATTGAAGTCTTACTTAACCACCCTATGTGAATTATGGACATTCCGCACCCAAAGCAAAACTCCTACATTCTACCTTATCCTATTTACCTTTTCTCTATTATATTTAGTAGGGCAGGATATCATTGTGATTCAGCATTCAGTCTCTAAAGTTAGACTGCCTGGGGGCGCCTGGGTGGTTTAGTCCGTTAAGCATTCAACTTAGGCTCAGGTCATGATTACATGCTTGGTGGATTCAAGCCCTGCATTGGGCTCCTTGCTGATAACTCAGAGCCTGGAGCCTGCTTCAGATTCTGTCTTCCTCTCTGCCCCTCCCTCGCTCTCTCTCTTCCTCTCTCTCTCTTCTTCTCTGTCTTTTCCAAAAATAGACATTAAAAAATTTAAAATTAGACTGCCCTGGTTTGAAAAACTGCCACTTGCTAGCTGTGTGACATTGAGCAAGTTACTTAACTCTATGTGCCTCATTTTTCTAGTCTGTTAAATGGAGATGATAATAGAACCTATCTAAAATGGTTATTTGAAGGCCAAATGATTTAATACGTGTAGAGTACCTAAAGCAGTGCTCAGCGCACAGCTAAATAGCAAACTTTTCCATTATGATTCTCTTACATGGTGTGTTTATTGATCACCTTCTCTGTTATAAAGCAAGTGCCAAGAGAGCGGGGGTTTGGCTTAGTGCTTCATCTCTGGGATCTAGAGTGTGCCTGGAACATAGATGTTTAATGAGTACTGAATGGACTATTGAATTAGTTGTAAAAATGACTTGCCACATTTGGGTATATTTTTTAATAATTTGAAAAGCTCTTTTACACTTAAGTAAGCCTGCATGAAAGAAGGGAGTTATGATTTCCTGCCTGAAAGCTGGAGGTGATAAACACTCACTAACTTGCACAAAGCCATCCTATTATTAAGTAATGGACTTTGAAATTGAACTCCTGTTTTCTGGCTCTTCTCTCTCTCTCTCTCTCTCTCTCTCTCTCTCTCTAGCAGTTACTTAGGTAATCTTTTTTTTTCTTTCTTTCTTTCTTTTTTAATGCTAGCAATACCTTTGGGAGTCAACCTTAATGGTTGTATGGAAAAACCAAGGATATATTTATGTTTTCAGCAGTACACTAACGAGCAATGAAGACATGTGCATATGTATTTTCGGACTAAGTATAAATTTAGTCATTTTCCCTTGAATGACATCTCAGAGAGCAACTGTTGTATTACCTAATTCTTATTACCTAATTTTGGTGGGGAGGGGTATTGGAGGTTGGATATTTAAGGTATGATTATCTGTGGAATAATAAGTTTTAAAACCTTCTGGAAAGTTTGTGCCTAAGTGGCCTTTGAAGTCTAGAGTAATCCTTTATAATAATTTAGTTTAGGGAATTAAGAAAAAAAAGGTCTGTTAAGAGTCCTCTGCTGTGACTTAGTAGGGATGATTTTCTTTTCATTAACATAATCCCCATATTTGTATTGTTTAGCAATTCCCTCCATTGAAATATTTTCTAATTTAAAAAAAACACATTACCACTTCTCCACTGAAAATTGGAAGATAGTAATACTCATATTAAAGTATTCAGCTCTAATATATGAATGAAAGGGATAAAGACGAAATGGACTTTATCTACTATACAATTTGACTAAGCCATTTATCTAAGTCTCAGTGTTCTTATCTGAAAAATGATTATACTTACAATATATGTTCTGAATACTTTTTTAGAATAATGATGTCAATAATACAAATAATAACTTTAGCTCTCTCTCATTGAAACTCTCCTACAAGTCAGGCAATGCATAACATGGTTACAGATAGGTTCTCATCTAATCATTGAAATAGCCTTCTGGGATTGGCTCCAGATTTTCATTTTACAAATGGAAAAACAGTTGTATGTGCAAAGGTAATTTTTCCCAATAATAACAACAAAATGTATTTTATTGTGATGTGTAATTGTCTTGAAAATAAATGTTTTTCAACTACAATGTTATTAAGACAATGTATGTTATTAGAAGAAGAAGAAGAAAAAAGAATAACCAAAAATGTTCACCGGGAGAGAAAAGAGCAACTTTTTCCAAAGTAAAGAAGAGAATGATGAGTTTTGAAGTGTTGGGGTTCAGAGGTGATGGCCAAGAAAGAATTCTTGAGATGTCTTCAGTGCAAAAAGGTGTTTTTTAATTAAAGTATGGGAATAGGTCAGTACCCATGGGAAGAAGAAGCTGCACTGGGGTTGTGAGGAGTGACTGATTATACACTTGGGAGCTGGGGGAGGCAAAGGCAAGGGGAAGTTTCCAAAAGGACTTTCATATGTTAAAGAAGACTCACAGGATCTTGGAGGCCTCCTATTTCAAGTTAAGGTTGTTTTACCCTCTAGCAAGTATGAACAGAAAGACAGTTGGGAGTTCCTGAAGAAATGTTCTAGTCTGCCTGCCTCAAGTATTTGTCCATGGGCTACGGGTTATAAGGAAAATTAATTTTATCTACATTTCTTTCTGCCTTTGTTTCTCACATCAGGGACTAGTTGTCTTACCTCATATGTGCTGGTGATGCCAGATCTGTAGAACACAGGGAGAAAGAGCTCTGATGTGAGGATGATGACGAATGCATATGAAATGAAGAAGAGCACAAACGATGCCCCAAAGCGGTAAACCTCGGAGGGTGTCCCCAGGACCGTGACAGCTGACATGAAGCTGGCTGTCAGAGACAATGCTACAGGACCAAAGCTCATTTGCCTTCCCCCAACCAGAAACTCCCTTGAAGTTGCCTTTTTCCTCTCCTTGATAGCAAAGAACACCCCAATTCCAGAGGAAATAACAAAGAGGGCTGCAAATACGACATAATCCCAAACTGCGAAGTTCTTCACCTCCATGCTGGGCAGTATGACACTAGACAGTTTCTTTCAACCAGGTCTCGGGAAGAAGCTGTTTCCAAAAGCAAAGCTCAGTACAGTAGACGTGTTCCTAAGAGAGAAGGCTGTGATTTTCTGGAAAGACTGATGACGACAGGCACTTGAGTGGATCTTCAGACACCAAGTTGTACTCAGGGAAGACCTCCAGAGTTGACTACAAAGAAGAATCTGGTAGTGGTATTGGTACCATCAGATGAGAACTTGAAATCTGACCCCAGCCAGGAAATGTCTGCTCCTGGACTAAAACATGTGCCACAGAGAAGGAATTCAGATGTGTTCTGAAATTAATAACCATGGGGGTGGAATGCACTTGCCAGAAAACATGCTCTTTTATCTTCTAGATTTTTTTTTTTAAATTTAAGGTTAAACATTACTGGGGAGAAAATGGAAGTGATACAAGTTGACCATCTCAGCATTTTAAATTAGTGAAATGGAATCTGTAATACACAACACCCTTAGAGGTGTCTTATCCCCTGAGTAAAGGAGGGTAAAGGATGAGTACCTGTGATTGCTTGAGGCAGTGGGTGTGGAGGGAAAAGAGGAAAGGACTGTTATTAAGGAGACCTTTGCTCAAACTGGCTCTGACTGCAAGAAAGCTGTGTAATTGTTGGCAAATCATTTAACCTTTCTGAGCTTCATCCAGAACATGGGGGTAATAAGACCTTACAAGGGCTACTGGGAGTCTTTAAGTGTCTCAAACTTGCTACCCTGTTTTTCCTGATCTGTAAAATGAAAGATAATAATATCTACCTCGTTGGCCATTATTTGTGTTCATAGTGGAGTACTCCTGAACAAATAGTTGATTGTCTCTTGACTCATAAAATGGATTTACCATTTTTAAATTATTAATAAAGCATCTGTAGTCCTCAGTTTTATCTCCCAGTCTCCTCTTCATTTGTACGTTTATGACACTTGTACCCAGAGGCTAAGTCAGGGTTAGCACGTGGACAAATGAGAAAAGGAAGGTGAAAATCCAGTTACAGATTCCTGTTTCTGTTCTTTTACACTACCATTGTTCTGAAGTATCCTCAGTAAGCCTCTGGGGAGACAATTTCCCCATTTTGTTCATACTTCTCTTCTCAGTGGTCTTCTCTGACCCTAGCTCTACAAAGCCTGATCATTCCACAGGATTTAGTTCCTGTCTCCTCTGCTCTGTGGAGCATTCCCTGACTCACAGCTGCTCTTTCTACCTCAGCTCCTGTGGGAAGCAGCCTCCCCTGGAGCTCACTTTGAATTCTGAAAGAATCCTTGACTATTTTAAAGAACGGATATGTGGACCTATCTGAGTTGGTCAGTTGTAGATGACCAGCTTCTGGAATATAGAAGCATGAGGCCTGGTCCATAGTGCCCAAGAAATGGTGGTCAATATAGAAAAGAAGGATATAATTAAAAAAGCAAAAGAAGAAAACACAAATTATTCAATATGCCCCAAATCATAAATGTTTTCTGTCAAACAGATGAAATTCTGCTTTGCTCTTGACATCTGGATAAAAGAATAAATCTTTGATTATTTGTTTAGTCTGGATACTGTCATCACTCCCGACTTTACTCCATGGATTTGAATTAGGCCACAGGAAGCTCTGACGGCCAAAATATGCTTTTAGTTACAAATAAATACTCTGGTTACAAGTATCCACCAGGAGCTATATGCTTCCTGTTGTTAAAATTCCTTCTCTAACTTTGCAGACTTGATATGATCAGTGTTAATGGAAAACAAAACTAGGTCTTAGTGTTTTTTATTTTAACCTAGGCTTTTAATTATTTTTTAAAAATTTTAACATTTATTTATTTTTGAGAGACTGAGAGAGAGAGCACAAGCAGGGGAGAGGCAGAGAAAAAGGAAGACACAGAATCTGTAGCAGGCTCCAATTTCTGAGCTGTCAGCAAGGACCCTGATGTGGGACTCAAACCCATGAACCATGAGATCATGACCTGAGCTAAGTCGATCACTTTACCGACTAAGCCACCCAGGTGCCTCAAGCTTTTAATTATTTTTATTATGAAGTATTCTAATTATATAACAGGTTTTTGTTTCCAATAGTCTCAGCAGAAAATCAGAACTCTGGCTTTCAGAGACTTGACTACTTTATACTTTAACATTAACACCAACTAAGTGTTAATATTCAATCTGTAAGATGTGTAAACAACTTGTTCAGGTCAGCTGAATACTTGTTCTAACCATTGTCATTATATCTATGAGGTCCCAGGGTTAACGACCAGAAGCTTACAGCTTGCTTGATGAGGCAAGGAGTACTGCTGTTTTTAGTGAACCATCATCAAGAAACAGTATTGTCAGGGCGCACCTGGGTGGCTCAGTGGGTTAAGCATCCAACTTCGGTTCAGGTCATGATCTCACGGTTGGTGAGTTCAAACACTTCACTGGGCTCTGCACTGGTGGTGCCGAGGCTGCTTGGATTCTCTCTCTCTCCCCTACCCCCTGCCCCTTCCACACTTGCATGTTTTCTCTCTCTCTCTCTCAGTACAAATAAGTAAATAAATGAAACAACATTGTCTACATAACTTCCATTCATCTTGGATTTCAAAATAGTGAGGAAGCAGAATAGTTCATGGTTTGACAGGTGAAGGAAATTTCATGACTCTCATAGCAAAATATCCCTTGCTTTCAACATTTTGCTGACTGTAAGCCACAACATCAACTTATTAATTTAATTCTCAGTTATTTCCCATTAAAAAAATCTTTTTCTCCTTTTGGTAGCATTCAATGTCTTCAAACTCTCTATTTCCCAGTGAAGCTCACTCTGTGCAAGGCTCATGATGATTATGAAACATAGAACCAATTTATTAATAACTTTTCAGGGAAAACAAAAGAACCAGCACACTCAACAGCTATACAATTAGAAGGTGCATCCTATATCAAAAATATTAACATGGAAGGGAGAGAAAATGGACCTCTTTGATCTGAAGAAACCCCAATATCTCCAGCTTCCATTTGCAAATGTTCCAAATGCAAACACTTGTACCTTATTCCTTTGTATGTGCTATGACCTTTGTTATAAGGGAAAATGTCAGGGCCTGGCCTCCTGACACATTCTTCCCTAAAGATGTTCCACTATCCAATTACCCACCACCTAATAGGTTAGATTGATTATTGTTATCAGTAATAGTCTCCTTAGTTCTGCACTTTGCTTGGAACAAGTTCTAATGGGAAAAAGGAAAAGAATTTGAAAAATTAAATACTACCAAAGGGAGGAAAGGGTAAAGAAACTGGCAAGACTAGACATCTGGGGGGATGGTGTTGGGGACATGGAATAGGAGTGAAGACAAAGAAACAGTACAGGCTGGTGGCAGAGACATCTCTCAAAACCAGTGAGGATTACTCAAAACCAGTATAAGGAGAACCAAAAGAATTCTAACAATGAGAGTAATTCATACTAAATCTTAATTTTTTCTAGCTTATTAAGATATAAGTAACATATAACATTGTGTAAGTTTTAGACATATAATGTGATGATCTGATACACTTACACACTGCAAAATGATTACCACAGTAGGGTAAGTTGACTCCATCATTTTCCATTTTGGGGGCAGGGGGTGAGAACATTTACGATCTGCTCTCTTATCAACTTTTAGGTAAATAATACCATATTGTGAACCATGTTTTGTTGGAGTGATTCCCTTTTTTTTTTTTTTTACCCACAACCTTTATGGAAAAGCTGCTACTTCATGGATATTACATTGGTGTTTCAACATTACAGTATAGGGAAAAGAGGTTGTGTTCATCTTTGGGTTCAACATGGGGGATAAGGAAGGAAAACTATCGAAGGAAGTGTGACACACAAGGGAGACTGAGAAACCAGTAGAAATAAACATTGAAGACCTCCTTATAGTCTTCATAATCTTTGCGATTGAGGTGGGGGAAGACTACTTGGTACCATAGTCTATCAAAGTCAGGAGACTGAGCTTTCTTGTCTCTCTGCTTTTCTGTCTTGTGTTTGTGTTTTTGCATTTCTTTCTTCCCCCTTTCCTTTCCTTTCCTTTCCTTTCCTTTCCTTTCCTTTCCTTTCTTTCTTTTTCTTTCTTTCTTTCTTTCTTTCTTTCTTTCTTTCTTTCTTTCTTTCTTTCTTTCTTTCTTTCTTTCTATCTATTAAAAGAAAGATTGGGGCCCCTGAGTGGCTCACCCTGTTGAGTTTCTGATTCTTGATTTTGACTCAGGTCATGATCTCCTTGTTGGTGGGATTGAGCCCCATGTCAAAGCATGGGACCTGCTTAGGATTCTCTCTCTCTCCTCACTCTCTGCCCCTTCCCTGACTCATGTGTGAGCACATGTGTGCTTTCTCCCTCTCAATCTCTCTCTCTCTCTCTCTCTCTCAATAAATAAATAAACTTAAAAAAAAGGAAGGTGATCTGAGAAGGTTGGAGGATTTGGGGCACCAGAAGTTGACACTTGAATTTCATTTACATACTCTCACAAGGAAAAAGGTTTCCAATCCCTACTGTAATATAGTAGAAAACATTTACCTGCAACAGGAGACCAAATTTCTTTCTCTACCCTGTCTCTGAATTTTCTTGTAATTTTGTGCTATTTTATTTGCTTCTTAGTTACCACATTTGTAAAACATGATGGCATATCATATTAATAATTAGATACTTAGATTAATGTAAATAACTAAATCACCTTTTAAAGTCGGCTCAAATGTTACCTTTTTGATCAACCTATTTAAAGTGCAAACAACTACTTCCAAATCTCCTTTTTCTGCTCCATTTTTTCTTCAAAAATGTATTCTCTACTAATATACTATATAATATTTTAAATATCAACATCCCTCCAATGAAGTGAAAGCTTTCTAAAAGGCCTTGTCAATTTTTTTCTCTGAGGTATTCTCAGTACCCAGAAGTTTTTGTCTCATAGTAGACACTCAATAAGTTAAATTAAATTGTATAAATTCTAGGGATCCTTTCCATCTTCATAATCTATGTTTAATTCCTGTCTTACTGAGAAA